GCCACACATGGTCTTAGAAAGCACTGTGTCTGTCGCTGAGGTCCTACACCAACTATCAATGAAGTCCATGTGACAGATTGTTCTTCTTAAAAGATTTCCACTATTGGGTAGGCACAAACACCACATATAGGAGGATCAGGCAGTTACCTATATGGTGAGATCTGAGTACCACCTGCTCCAAGAAGTCTGCATGTGCTCAAGCCTGGAATCCCACCCTAAAACACTCATTTCTTCGAGTTAAGGGCATTGTCATCTCCTGATATTCAAATGCAAATATCCTTGGGATAATAATAACCACTGCAAACCGAGAACGTAATAAGTTCCAGGCATCTTACCAAGGTTACCTCAACTAACCTTCACAACCTCTCTGTAAGGTAGATTCCTCCTACAGAGAAGTTGCTGCTTGCAGAAAATCACATGGCTGGTAACAGGCCAACCTGTGATTTGAATCCGGGTCTGTTTGGTGCCAAAAGCCAAACTTTTAACCACTGCCTATATTTATCTTGTTAATCAAACAATAAATTGTCACCAGATATTAACACCTTACAGAGGAAAATCAGCACACCCTACATGGCAACTAGCTGGTAGAGAAGTGCTAAGAAAAGTTCAAGGAGGCAGAAAGACCAGGCATTTTTGGATGATTGCAAATTCTTTGACAAAGGAGGGCAAGGTTGGGGGGCTGCACCAGAGAGGAGCACAGAAAATATCTTCATATTTTCTCCAGAAAGGTTCCAAAGTTAGCCCTTCTGAGAAAACAGGGAGGGGGTGAGGATACACTTCCCAGTGTTTCAGCAAAGGGCTGCTGAGCACAGGTGAATATACAATGCTTTCGTGTGTGTTTCTGGCAAGTTTCATTCTGCACAGGATTCTATTTTAACTGTTCTGGGCAGCAGGACGGTAAATTGTTTTATTATCTTTTTTATTTTTTGCATATAATCAGTAGTCTATTAATAGACTTTTGTAGATTGAGTTTTCTTCAAACTGATTGTATGTGTAAGTGTGATTCTGGAATGCCATCAAAAGAACTTTGAATTCTTTCACCTTAATTAAGTTTCACATGCTTGGTAAATTATAACTACCCCTTTTAATTATTTTTGTATATATTGTTGGAGATTAAAAGGAGTGGTGTAATTAATATAAAAATTGCTTCTCTTCTGAAAGGTGTGGATTCTGTCTGGACTAGTGAAATAATGAACCTGGAATGTTGAAAATAGCTCAGGGCACTACTGCCAATTCAGGGTGCGAACACTGCCGCCTAAGATTTTTGTTTTTAAAGCTAAGAACTCAG